ATTGACCAATCACAGTTTCCTACCGTTGAATAATTCCGGGATGGAGCAGCCTTCTGGGATGGTGGATTAATAAATTTCTGCATCGAATCATATTTCGACTTTCCTGATTTTTAAAACTGAGAAACAAAAAAAAAATCTCCCCCACTGATTTCGGTGATCCTCTTCTATTTCTCTTGTAAAATATAAAATTAAGCTATGCAGGCAAATACACGCGAAGAGGCCAAACACCAAACTAAATACTCCAAGAACCGTGATGTCCTCCACGGTTTAATTTTTCAAGTTAAGCCGGTGACAACTGTATTTCAATCTCATAGCGAGTGTACGCTTTAGGTGGTTTCCTGAACTCGATTTGCTTCGATTACTGAACAGATTTAATTTTAAGAAGCTCAGGGTTTCTTCGGTGCTCCCTCCCTCACGTGGGCCAGACAAGCAGTATCAAGAAAGATTTTCAAATACACAAGGTAATCGAATGTGTTACTATGGGTGATGACACAATAAAGACCGGCTTCACCTAGCCTTAAGAGCACAAAGATGGGGAAATGGCACCTCATATTCAAAACCAACCAAGCTTAAGAGAAATATTTAAGAATCATATTGCAAAGGAAAGTCATTAAAGATATCCTGATCAGAGCCAAACTTTGAAGGCAAAAGATTTAAAATCGCTTGAAGGCCCGTCACACTTTCAGTACGGAATTCATGAAAGTCACGCAATCCTATCTTAGTCTCCCCATTCCTTCTCTCCGTTCTTTTTCTTAAGAACATTATACACGCTGGAAGAAAGATGGAAAACATCAGGATACACACCAAGGCCAATCCAATGGCCAAAGCCACAATCCTCGGCAAATTTTTAACTTTCTGGTAGGTTTATTTATATATCTGTCATTGAGTAGAATCCAATTGAAGTATTGTTTTGACGGACAAACCTCAATCCCAGATGAGGGTTCGTTCCACTTCTGCCGCCTCACGGTCACACCGAGTTACATAATGTTAGTTATTGACCAATGAATCGATCTCTTCAGACTTTTCACAGTTTCCACAAAGTACAATACAATTATTTTATCGTAGAGTTGGAAACGGATCATCTGGACTTCTGCTCTCCACTGTTGAGTGTCTTTTTCAGTCATAAATTGATACGTGTCGACGTTGTCCCAACGTTCAAATCCAACCAATTAACGCACTTCAAAATTTCTGTAGTTTTGCTGAAAATAACCGAACCTTTTTTAAAATAAACTTATATGCACCCTCTGTAAGCTTGAAAAGACTTCTGCATAACCCCATACTTCATTATGCAAACAGTTCTTGGATAAAGGAAATAATGACGAAATTAGTCTTGGATTGCCAGTAATGGGACTGCGGCTTTCTTGGAGAATAGGGTAAAATTTCCGCACAGCCCTATACTACATCATGCATTCTGTTCTTGGATAGAGAAAACAACGACAAAAACAATACATTGCCATTAGGAAAACAGATTTGTTTTACAATAGTATGGGGCTGTGCGGAAATTTTACCACATAAGATGCTCAGCTTGTCATTGCAAGCCTCTGGCTGTGTTACTCCTCATTGAATTTCTCCTCAAACATTCTTCTCTTGCCTATTTTTGAATGCTACACCCCTATTATTATCACTAAATTCACAACTTTTGATTCTTCATTTACCCTTCAAGCTATCATATACCTTAACTGAAACTATACTGTGACACCTGTATCAACTTTCAAACTCCCAAGGCCTTAATATTGGTTCTTCAAATTGTTTGATCAATGAGAAATACCTGTCTGCATGATAGTATATTGACATCATAGGGAAAATTACATCTTCATTACTCACGGGGGTCAAAGAGCTAAGTAGTGTCCTTGATATAAAGTGATCACTTTATTTAATTTACAGTAACCTTTCAACCCCTAAGATTTACTAGCATCTAATTTGTCTTCACAATATCACCTGTGAATCACACATTCAGTTAGGTTACAAGAATAAAGGAAATGATCACCAAATAAAGAAGCCCTTGATTGTAGTTATTCTTCATGTCAGCACCTTAGGAAATATGTTGAAAAAAACAGTATTGAGGTTATATAAGTATACTGGTGTCATGTAACAGATTGTAGAGGATGTAAGCCAATCTTATTATAAGTTAAAAACATCATGATTTTCAGGTGGATGAACAATTTCTTCAGTAAAGGATACAGGCATCCCATTGATAACTCAGATATCTATAAAATTCTGCCTGAAGAAGAGGCTAAAGGACTCGCTGATAGACTTGAAAAGTTTGTTTAATAATCTTTTTTAGTTGTTTTTTTATGTTAGAAATGGTTAAATTTGTGATAAAATTGTGTCTCAGGAGTATAATTTTAGACCCTTGTTGGTATGTTTAAATAGACTTAATTTTTGGTCTCCATGTGGTATCAATGGAACAATTGTTTAGCTTAGTCTTGGTGAAATTAAGTGGTAGACATTAACCTCCTTGGTGAATACTTGTGGAGTATTCATTGTTGGTATGGAGGAGATTGAAGTTTATCTGGACTAGTGCATTGGCCAATGCTTAGGCTAAATTAGTTTAAATGTAATGTTACATGCTATTTACTGTTTGTAGACTTTGGAATGAAGAACTGAGAGATGCCCAGAGGAAGAGTAGAAAACCCCGGCTCAGAAATGCTTTCATTAAGTTCTTGGGAGTCCGCTATTTCATGCTTGCTATTTTTCCAATAATTGAGGTGAGTCTGATTTGTTTTTTGAAACAGTTTGGCGCAAAGAAAATTTTAGCAAGTAGATAAACAAGAATTAGTCTTTGCCACTCACATCATTACATATTTATCTTGCATATTAAAAGATTTTGTAGCATTTGCTAAGTCTTGGTTATGTGTCTAGATTGAATGAATTGTATATAAAGGTTGTAACTGTTCTGACTTGTAACCAAGGCAATGGTGATTGCAACATTTGGGATAACATATTTAATGTGTGACAGTATAAATCCACATGTTCCTCTCTTTACTTCATCGATTCCAGTAAATGTTTCTTGGAGTTTCATTTAGTAATTTTTGAGTACTCATGGACCTAAAAAAAGCCTCTTGTTCTCTTTCTAGCAGTGCACTTAGAGGATGAATATTGAAATTAGTAATCTGTGCAGAATACTGCATGCAAATCATGCATGTGATCTGAAACATACATGATCTGAAACATTGTGGAAGGATGCCAGAACATTTAGGTTGTACTTTCCTAGATTGTACTATATAAGTTTTCATTAATTGGCAAATTTTTGGAAAAATTCGGAAATGGGGTTGTATTCAACATAAATATTGTTAAGGGAAGTATTTGAAAAATTGATATCATTAATTCTTACATTGATGTTATGCTAATGTTAGAAATAATAGGGATATGCGCCAATCAAAGATTGTTAGTGTCTGCAGTATTTCACATGTCATCTGTTTTGTTATTTTTGTTCAGGAAGGATTGAAAGTTTCAGCTCCTCTGCTTATTGGCAGACTTCTCAGTTACTTCCAACCAGATCCAGCCATAAGTCACACTGATGCGTACATTACAGCTGCACTTCTTTCTTTGTGTGCATTTTCTGAAGGAGCCTTACATGCTCCCAATTTTTTCATCAATCAAAGGTGCGGTTTGCATTTGAGGCTAGCTGCAGGGTCGCTCATATATAGAAAGGTTAGTAGACTTAGTGCTATTGATAAGAAATTATAGATAATTATTATGTATTAGGATTAAAATGATTATTGGATAGTTTTGTGATGACCCATGATGATTGTTCAAAGACCTTTGATTACCTTTTTAATAAACTTGCAAGTTTTCTGTGTTACATGTGATCACACTGTGATCACAAAATGTTTTAAGTGGGAAAGTTAAAGTTTCCACCCTTGTTTATTGTTCTTTCTAATAACTGACATGAATGATTTTCATCTTTCAGGCACTGCGACTAGGTCATGTGTCTTTTATCAAAACAACAACTGGTCAAATAGTGAACCTTGTTACTAATGATATACAAAGACTGGAGTGGGTAATGAAAACTTCTGATCTCACTTACTTGTTAAAAAGAGATAGGAGAGACATCAGGGAAGGAGTTTATCCTCAAACCAATCATATGATTTTGAGAAGTCAGATCAAAATACAAAAAGGGCTTTTCATCAAGGTGTTGTGAAACCAAAATGAAATTAATGAAGTTGACCAATCAGGACAAAGGGAAACTAATTAACCCTTTAACTCCCAGGTCAGATTTGTAATTCTCCTTACTGCCAACCGTACAACTCTTATGATCTTAGTCAGAGAATTTATTACTGGATCAACAAATTATCCAAAATTGATATTTTCTTTATTCTCATCACTTATCTGGTTCATATCGTATTGATATTGTAAGGAGAAATTCTATCTTGGTCACTCATGGGAGTTAAAGGGTTAAAGACTCAGTCAGAATGTAAAGCCGTGATTTTCATTTGTTGGCTAAGTTACTCTGATTACTCAATACATTTGAAAATTAAAAAGAGTGAAAAAAAAACTGGAGGACTGTCCAACATCTTGGTAATGCAAAGTTTGATTATTCACTAATAAGTCAAAAAGTAAGTAACTAGTTTTGTATCTTTGTTTGAAAAGGTTGTTGTCTTCTTGTCATGGATAGATGTACAAATCAAATGAAAAGGCAAAAAAATTTATTTACATTACGGTTGTTGGTATTTTTATTTTGGAAGGTGACAATATTTTTTCATTATACCTGGGTTGCTCCATTGATGGTTGTTGTCATAGCAATCCTTTGTTGGCGTGAAATTGGAATCTATATCCTGCCTGGTATTTTCCTTTTCCTGCTTCTGGGCCCTTTTCAAGTCTATGTTGGTAGATTCTTTGCCAAAATGAGGTAAATGGAATGTGATATTTTTATAGCTGCCAACTTTTTTTGTGGCAGATGTGTGACTAGGTGAGATATGTTCATCCTAAAATATGTAGTAATTTTTGATGAGGACTAGTCATATTGATGAAAAAAAATTCCATGATTTCTGAAGATTTCACAAATATTGCTAGAGGTGTCTTGAATAGTTACCAATTAGGCAGGAGGGGCTACAGCCTTCTCCTTCTTCCCCACATTTCAGTGCTAATGATATTACAAGCACAACATAAAATTAGTGCAGTAAAATGTTTTGCCTCTTACCGATAGTCTTTTAAAATTGTTTCATCAGGATTGTGCTGACAAAATTGTATGATTTTTTTTTGTGGTAGGACTTTTTTCATTTGAATAGCTCTGGCTTGTGGCATAGATCAAGGCAATCAGAAGGGAGAATTACTTAAGTTAAATGGGATTATGGGAGTTAAAGGGTTAGAACTGCAAGTTTTAAGGAAAAGGATGATTCAACTTTCACAATATTCTTTTGCGTTCAGATCCAAAACAGCTGTCCTAACAGATGAAAGAATTAAGATGATGAATGAAATTATATCAGGGATGAGAGTTATTAAAATGTACACTTGGGAAGAGTCTTTTGCCAAGCTGGTGGCAGAAATCCGAAGGTACAGTCTGTCAAGAAGAGAAAATTTATGAGTTACAATCTACAAACTGCATATACTAGGTGGCAGTCATTTACTAGAAATAATTTGTTGTAACATTTTGCAGGGGTAATGACATTTCATTTTTGGTTGATCATTGCTTTCCAAGATGTTTTTATTCTCTGAAGAAAATGTAATTTTGTCCCAACTAATTCATGTTGTCAACTAATTCATGGTCAACTGAGTGACTCCCTATTTCTATTTAGACCAGCATACAACATAAATTTTTTAACTATCACATGAAATCCCTTAACTCCCAGAAGTGATTAACAACTAACTTCTCCCTGCAACATTCATAAATCATCCAGCAAACAGGTAGTGAGAATACTCAAACATGTCAAATAGAAGTTAATTGTTTTGATCTAATACCAAATTCTTGTCACTAATTTAAAAGGAAATATGTGGTAGCTACAGAGGGGAGAATTGACCATCAGATCTGGGAGTTAAAGGGTTAGGGGTGCTTTAAAGACACAAGGGGAGTGTTATTTTAAAATCAAATCAGAATTGGATCCCTTTGGAGTTTGTTAGCATCTACACTGTATTTCACGTATTACGTTTTTCATGTATGCAACATCTCTATCAATCAAAAGGAAAGTTATTTTTAGTAAAAAAAATGTATCTCAATTGAATTTTACAAACAGTATTTTACGCTGCAGGTAAGGTTGTAACCAGTATAATGATAACTCCTAGAGTATTTTTTATTTTAACCCCGTAGTGTGAAATCCTTACTTTACTCTTTCAGGAAAGAAACCAAAATGGTGAAGCACACTTCTTTTTATCGAGCAATCAATTGTGCATTTTATCACTCTGCATTGGCAATTATAAGCTTGGTAGTTTTTACTGTGTACGTGATGACTGGCCATATCTTAACAGCAGAGAGAGTGTTTGTTGTTTTGGGACTACTCATGGCTGTGAGGGTTTGCTTTACATTGTTCTTTTCTCTTGGTGTGATGTATCTCAAGGAATCAGCTGTTTCAGAGAAGCGTGTGCAGGTAAAATGTCATTATCACTGCATACATATTGGGTATATATACGTGCATGATGTAAAGAATAAGAATCAAAAGGCTAAGCCCTGGCAAAAGTCATTATGTTGTTTTGCGGGCAAGACAGAAATTGCATGAAATTAAATGGTATTCCCCCTTCTCCAGTCCTAGTAGTGTGGTACTCAACTTCTCTGAAATTTTTCTAAACACAATATAAATGTATATATATATATATATATATATATATATATATATATATATATATATATATATATATATATATATATATATATATATATATATATATATATATATATATATATATATATATATATATATATACATAATATATATGTGTTGTGAAACAGGCTTGTAGGGATGAAAGTATAGTCTCTCTGTTTTTTTCCCCTATTGCAACATATATCGCACCCTACTTCTATGTATTGAGCACTGTAAAACGGAAGAATCAATACACAGACTTCCTCTGTGCGTGTGTGTGTGTATTCTTAACTTTATCTTATATCTTTTTCACTTGTAAGGCATTCTTAGAGTTGGAAGAAAGAGAGCCAAGTGTGTCTAATGTCATTGAAAATGGTGTTAGCAGCAAAGACAATGTACCACTTCTGAAGTTGGAAGGAATCACAGCATATTGGGACAAAGTAAGTTCCTCATTAATGAACTTGTTACTACATGCAGTTGCTGATTAATAGACATATACTTAAGACTTACCCCTTCACTTAACTAGAGATGCCACCCTATGAGAAAATTATATTCTACTAAAGCCAAATCCACCTAACTTGACTTCCCCCTCCCCCCCTCATGGGAAAAACTTATGACAGAATTCTGTTATTAGGTTAATGATCATTCAATGAGACTGTTAGTTACAGGGTAGAAATGAAAAAAAAATTGAAATATTAAATCTTTTGTTTTGACACAAAGAAATATAGCTAGGAAAGATGTTTATGTCATTTTGACTTTTGGAAAATAGAGAGTTACATGAAGAGTTAGGGTTTTTTTCAGTTAAAGTTACCTCTGAGTGGGAGATTATTTTGAAGACTTGTGCAGAGACCAGGAGTTACTGTTAAGTCCCTTTGTAAGATGAAACTTTAGGATAATCTTAGAGAATGGAAATATTTGTTCACATACTGATCAGTTTTCTGTTTTATCTCATTAAGCAAACATATCATTCCAAAAGACAGAATCCTGTTAAAGGAATAGCATTTATTGTAATCTTATATTTACAGCTTATTGCGGCTTGGTGGTAGGTGGTGAAATACATGATTATAAAAAATGTATTTGTATTAGCAGGGATCTCACAAATGATGTAAATGTATTAAGTATAATTATCTTTCTTTTCAGTCTTTAAACCCCACACTGAAGGACATTTCTTTAGAGGTGAAACAGGTAGGTAATCAACTTCACTGTCTTGTAGCATTACATGTATGAGCACATCACCACAATATGGTAAGGGAGGGAATTATTTGCTATTTATTGAATAGTCCATTTTACAGTTACCTGCTTGGTTGCCAAGCCTTTGAACAGGAGTGAGGCTAAGGGTGACCTTGTTATGATACCAGCATTGCTGTTTTTCAAATGTTAATTACTTTGTTATCATGCTAACTAGGTACTGGTCACTATCACAACAAGGTCACCTTCAGCCTCACTCCAAATCAAAGGCTTGACAATTAAGTACATAACTGTAAAATGGCCAATTAGTAGCAGGGTCCAAAGACAAAAGGATTGATTTTAGGTCATGAAGCACAAAAGGATCCTAGGGAGGTCTATAAAACTTGAGCAAGAGCCAATAATTTACCCTGTAGAGTCCATTCTTTTTCTTTCTTCTCTTCTTCTTGAGTGTGCATCTAGCAGTGCTGTATATAGGGCCTTTTGGCCTTTTTTGAACCTGTTTGAGCCATTGCAAACAAGCTTCTGACATGAATTGTATTGTTATGGTGTTTTTCATTAAAAAGATGTGTGAGGCTGTACAGGTCATTTTTAGTAAGGTTTTGCTTTTTTTGCAATAAATGGTTGAGGTAAAGGGATAATTTTTTTCTTTTAATAAAACGAGGCAGGATATTGTCATGTCATTTGTCATGCTCTGATACCAGAAAATTTTGGTGTGCTTTAGGGATAAAAATAAAATGTATTTAGATGACATCTTTTTTTTTTTTGTAGGGAGAGCTTCATATTGTTGTTGGGCCTGTGGGTGCTGGAAAGGTGACTAACATTTTTTGCATAATTTATGTATTTAGTAAAACTTAGCAAATGGAAGTTCATCTTGCAGCCTATTGTACATGATTTGTACTTGACCAAACAGAACTTCATTTGAGCTTTTTTTTATCACTACACAATTTGCTAATACATGTGTCATTTTGGTTTTATTTTGGTGTCATTGTGGTTCCTTAAGTCTTCACTTTTGATGACTATCCTCGGTGAATTGCCAGTTTCTGAAGGCATCAAAAAGGTTCATGGAAGAGTGGGCTATGCCTCTCAGCAGGCCTGGATATTCAATGCAACAGTGAAAGAAAACATTCTGTTTGGCCAGGATTTTGATGAGGATCGGTACCAACAAGTTATTGAGTGTTGTGCTCTAAAAAAGGTAATAACAAATTGCTTTTGTAATGGCACTAATCAGTTTTGGCTCTCACTTTGAGTTGAATCAGAGTGCAAGCCTTAAATGATTCAGGGTCTATATGGGTCTTCAAATGTTTCTGAATTCATGGAATTTTACAATTTTATTTCTCAGGTCAGGAAATTATTTTTTAAGGTCTTGTTCTTACAGTAGTTCATGGAGAACATGAATTAAACTAGACCTTGAAAATACATGTAATTTTTCTTTTATTGTGCAAAGGAGGGGAAGCTGTTTTGTTTAACCTTAGATGTTTTAAGGTTTCTTCAACCTCTTATAAACTTTATCATCTGCCAATGGATCAACTGAATTTGATTGTAAATTGTACTTGCTGCATGTAAGTACAGTAAATCCCAGATAACTTGAATTCCTAAGGGAAACAAAATAAGTGTTTGTCAGTTAACTTAATGGGTGTTTGATTTAGCTGATAGTAGACAACTGAAAAAATGGGTTAAGGAAAATCAGAGCTTGTTCGAGTTGTCCTTGGGTTTGAGTTAACCAAGTGAGAGTTTGCAGGGTTCAACTGAAGTCTAAAAATTGCTATCATAATTTTTTGAATTTGTAACTACAGGACTTGGAGCTTTTCCCTAAAGGTAATTCAACCATTGTTGGCGAAAGGGGTTTGGTGCTTAGTGGTGGACAGAAGGCTCGCATTAGTTTAGCAAGGTGAATAGGATTGCTTTATTAATTTGTTGTGTTAACCCTGTATACCCCAACATCAGTATGCAAATTCTCTATACTGTTCCAAAAACATTTCCCTTGGTGCTGACCAGGAGAATTTCTTTCAATTAATAATCAAGAGTTTCCTTATTTGGTAATCATTTCCTATATTCTCATGAACTTGATGAGTGATTCAGGGTCATATTATTAGGAGAAATTAGATGTTAGTCACACTTAGGGGTCAAAGGATTAATTCTTTATTATTGTTATGCAAATTATTGCAAACTTCATCTTTTAGTACAGATTGTTACAAGTTATTGAAGGATTTTGTCACCCTATTTACATCTTGAAAAGTTTACCCTAAATTTTTAAGTATATTATCTGCAGTCCATTAGAACCCTCTCTTCCTCAACCATCACATTCTCTTTCAGTTTATCTTTACCTCTTTTATGTTGGAGCACTGCAGCCAACAGGTATCATTCCAGACATGGACAATTTTCAGCAACCTAAAAAATAACTAAATATATTTTGAAATAACTACTTACCATGAATTACTAGTACACTGTGAGGGGATTACTTTGCACTTAGAATACTATATTTTATTACTGGTAATAGCCATAAATATCTCCACCTACCTGTGAGAGTGAATAACAATTTCTTTATACTTTTTCAATGCAGGGCTGTTTATCATGATGCAGATATCTACCTCCTTGATGATCCTTTGAGTGCTGTAGACACACACGTTGGCAGAGAACTGTTTGATAGGTATAGGGACCTAAAGGCTGGTGTTCAATAAGGATGATGTCAGAGTTAAACATTTAATTAATCAAAGTTTGAATTAACAAGGAAAGTCTTAAGCTCAAGACTTATCTAAGACAAGAAGTCTATTTCCCAATAGATAATAAATAATAATAATAATAATAATAATAATAATAATATAGTAATAAAAACAGAGTAATGGCCAGCATAGGTAAAATGCTTGTGATTCTGTTGGTTTGATTTTTGCAAAATTTTGTCACTTTTCAGCAAAGTCTGTTTACTTCATTTTAGCAAAAACCTAGTCTTAACAGAGTATTTTTATAGTAGAAGTTTATTTATTCAACTGAATTTCTCATTCATTTCTTTGTGAAAAGAACTGGCAATAAACAAGCTAACTAAGGTAATGACCTGTTCTTTTTACAGGTGCATCATTGGTTTGCTAAAGGATAAAATCTGTGTACTGGTAACTCACCAGCTACAATACTTAAAAGATGGTACTTCAATATTATGTTTGCAAGAGGTCTGTATTGCAAAAAAATTTTAATTTCAAAGTGAGGTTGTGAATGAATTATCTATAAGTGCTTAGCACCTGTCAGAACTGGCAGGCCAGACTAGGATTTTTAAAAATGCATATTTAGCATTTCTCTGGATATCTTCATCTTATTTCTTTTAAGTTCAATCAGAACAGTAGATTTCATTTAGAATTTGACTGATCTCAAAACATTTGTCTTGAAAAAAAGAAAACTACTTCTTTTAGTAGATGTCAGAGTTGTTGTTTTCACCCTGTAAGACAAGGAACACCCAACAGCAAAAATGTTGAATTCAACAACAAATGTTGCAAAGGGGTTTAGCTACTTGCCATGATATTATTAGTGCTTTTCTGTCAAGCTCTTTACTTTAAAAGTGATAATAGGAAAAAATGTTTCATATTCACTGAATTCATCATTGATATTGTTCAAATTTAATACTTTTCAGTTTTTCACCTTCTCTTTTGGCAAAACTATGTTATCCTGCCATTTCATTTTCCTATCAAATGCCTTTGGGTACATTTCTGGGTATAATGTTGTCCTGACTGTTAGAAAAATTTGCTGTTGCTTTTTATTTATTTCTTTTAAACTTGTTTGTTTTCAGGGCTGTTGCATAGGTCAAGGTACTTATTCAGACTTGGCCAATTCTGGTCTTGATGTACAGTCTCTTGTCTCCTTACCCGAGTCTGATGATGACAGTGCCATTGAGGCTGATGATATTGAAGTAAAGGAAAAAGAAGGGGGTAACACCACTCAAGCAAATGCTGTAAAAGCCAAGGTAAGAAATTTCATTATTGTTTGTCAACCTCTTTTGATAATTCACATGTGAGAAAGAGTAGAAAATTGCTTTACTGCACTATTTTGTCATGCAATGAACGCAAGAAAAGTAATATACTTATGTACAGCTGGAAGGTTTAACCCTTTAAACCCAAACATCAGCAGGTATAGGTAAAGGTTGTTAAGCAAAGTCAGTACTGGAGCCAAGTGGCCTGTCTAGCCAGAGTTTATCCCAGTCTCCATAGCATGAAGCACCAAGGAGTACATGTGTTACTACTCCTCAGTGAATGCCAGTCCATTGCAAGGATACTCCCCAGATTTTTATCGGGCTTCCCTGGCAATTTACCAGTACTCATTTGTACTCCTGGGTGGAGAGTGACACTGCGAGGAGAGATGACGTGTTTTGCTTAAGATCATAACACAATGACCCGCCAGGTCTCAAACCCAGACCTCTTATTCAAAAGTCCAGCGCACTGACCATTAAGCCACTGTCCCTCCTACCATTAGTAGGTATAGTTATAAGTTATGTTAGATTTCTTTCCAAAGATCACAAAACAGTGACCCACCCTGAGTTTTAACTTGGACCCCTTGGTTCAAATGATAGCGCGCCAGTGTACCACCAACAGATGACCCACCCAGAGTTTTAACTTGGACCTCTTGATTCAAATGATAGCGCGCCAGTATACCACTAACAGATCAAAGGTCTGATGCAAAACAAATAGTTAACAATAATTTGTTACTATTTTTGTTAACAGAATTCATCTGAAATAAAAGCCGCGGTAAAAGAAGATCGCCATACTGGGACAGTGACTTGGAAAGTGTACTTTGATTACTGGAAGGCGGGAGCTGGATTTCTTAAGGGACTGATCCTCGTGCTACTTGTCATTTGCACCCAGGTAGATAGACTAATTACGTCTTAGATATCAACCTTAATATTTCTTGTCAATTGAGTTGGGCAGGACTTGAGGTTAACTTGTTGGATAATGACGCAGCCCATTATTTGCAAAATTGAGGGATGAGGTGATTATTTAGCAAATTCCACTGAATAGACTTATTAAGTGAAGGATTTCCCACGTAGTCATATGGTGTCTTTGTTTTGACTCTTCAAGTTGTACCCCATCATGCTGTTTTCAAAAGTATCGAAAAACCTTTTCCGTTACAAAGTCTGTAAACAGCAGACGAGCTTCGAAGTCAGGCTTCAACGTGGTTCGAATCCGTGACTACCAGATGCTACCAACTGAGGAAAGTTTTGGAGGTTTCTTCTTTCCCGTGGAGGAATAGTTGAACATATTCATACCCATTCCTTAGGACAATTGATAACAATCTTTTTTCAACTTTTAGGCAGTAGTCATGCTTTCAGAATGGTGGCTCGCTCATTGGTAAGGTCCTGTTTTTATTTGAAATTCTTTTGTTACGTACAAATATTCAGAGAGTTATTGGTCTGTCCCAAATTGTCATAACGTCATGAGACGGGTGTTGACCACAGTCACGTTGGTTTTACCGCTTTCTTAGAGACCGCGCATTTCATTCCATCAAAAAATTATCAAAAAGATGAATGTTCAGTAAAAAAACTTGTTGTTCCGGACATTCAGAGCAATTTTCAATTGAGTGTTGAAATCAATCTGGGATTGCTTTCGTTTTACTTAACTTTGCTCTGTGATTGGTCCAGAAAACTCGTTCCATCGTCTCGACCAATCAGATAAAAAACTGTTAAAAAATGGCGATTAGGTCCAATCGAGCTCTCCCGCGCTTCAAGCAGTGTGCTTGTTTTCGCTTTAAGCTCTCATTGGCTGATGATAATGTAAACCTTTGTTGTGATTGGTTGCTGGGATTACTTTGTTTTTGGTCTTTTAACACTCGATTCAAAACTTCTCGATGAACATGTTGAGAGTTGAGTTCCTACCATTACACTTAGTTATTACATGTACTTTACTTATAGAGACGGTTTGAAACCAGGATGAATAGTCAATCGTATGGTGTGCTACTTTGAAGTAGGCTTGTCCTAATATATACTCTTGTCGGCGAGAGTTAGTGACCAGTAGAAGTCACTATATGGTTATCTTCAAAATTAGCTTCTTGAGGAAGATCGCAATATTTCATCAAAAGAAGATCTTCTCGTTTGACTCTGTGTTGGTGCATGTCAAATTTCAGGGCGGATGAAGAAGAAAGACGCGCCTTCGAAGCCGAAATTCTTCCAAGCAACTCAACAATTCAGGCGGAGGACCTTGATAAATTCAGGAAACAGAACATTTCTATATATGCTGGCCTTGTGGTTGGTACATTCATTCTAGCATATGCAAGTGCAGGTGCCTTCCTCTTTATTGCTGTGTCTGCATCGCAGAACCTTCATAATAACATGTTCAGGAAGCTTCTTGGCGCGACAATATATTTTTTTGATACAAATCCTGTTGGTAAGTGTTTTTTGAAATGCTGGATGATAAATAATGTTTGTACTTTCTTTTCAGTCATTCTGGTTATTTAATGCTTGAAATGGGAATGACTTATGTTTAAGTACCATATCTTATGCCTACAAGATAGCGGTATGGACACTTGAAAAAAGTCGTTGCCAATCAAGTGCATAAAAGTGTAGTCCTGATGTCATAGTAAACTACTCCTAGTTCGTCAGTGTAGTTTATAATTTCATTGGTCTTGCTTCACTGCGCTCTTTGATTGGTGAAGCTAGAAACCTCAGAAGGAAAACGGAACGAAGAAAATTTTTCCGAGATGCCCAAAGCCTCTGCCCTAAAACGAAGCAAAGTGCGTAGTCTTCGATAGGAAAGGAAAATCAGTCTAAATTGTTATTTAGATACCACTAGTTTGATTTATTATCAAAAGGGTTTTGCACTCTGCTACAATTTGAAATCGACGGCGTAAGATCTCGGCAGTGGTTTTCGAAACATGTTAGGCTGGTTGCTCGTTGTAAGTCAAAGTTGTTATCGGCTCCTTGTGATATTTTTCCTTCTTCTGCTTGGCCGTACAACACTCGGACGAAAACCGTTATGATACAATAAGTTATTTTGAACAGAAGTTTTGTTTTTGTATCCTTTTTCTTTTTATTTATTTATTTATTTATTTATTTATTGGCAAAATCTAACCAGGCTGGCCGAGTTCAGTTGCAAGCTGGTTTGAAGGGGGGCCTATTAAGTTATAAATTGATTTCCTTTTCGTTTCAGGACAAGTGTTAAACAGGTTTTCAAAAGACATTGGTCAGATGGATGATCTTCTACCTTACACATTTTATGATTACTCTCGGGTAGGTGCCGTCAGGTGCGTTTACGTGTTATTTTCCGTGGTAAATTTTTGTCAAAAGGCTTTCTTGAAACTACCCACAGTTTTCAACGGATCCACCCCTCCAAAAACGCGGTAATGAATTTCACTTAACCTCTTCAATACCTAGACTAAGTTGTGTTTGTCGGTTTATTCTTCTATTAAAAAAGTATGGCAGAATTCTGGACACCTGTCTAGGCGGGTGATTTCACCAACCAGGGGATGATTTGGGATATTTGATAGCCCCGATGACAACTCTTCAAATTCTTTAATTGCGTGACTCATTTACACCTTATTTTATATTCACCACATAGCTGATGCTGCAGGCATTTGCAGTCCTCATGCTGAATGTGGTGTTTGTGCCATACTTGCTGGCAGCAGCTATACCCATCGTGCTTCTGTTTCTGTTCATACGTCACTACTACTTAAAGACCGCCAGGGAAGTTAAACGTATCGAAGCAATGAGTAAGTTGCGACTTGTCTTCTTTCGCGCAAAGCCAATATATATAGAGAGGGGCTGAATGTTCACGATATTTGAAAATAACGTTTGACAATGATAGGAAAGTATCGAAACGAAATTGTAGAAGATCAAGGAAAGAGTTCTCCCGTAGAGGTTAGGTACGGAGAAACCTTAAGTTCCAGACAATGAGTGAACCAATTGTTTTAAAGATTACTTTCATACCCGTTGCGCCATATAAAAATAGAATTACAGGGAACAGGGTAAGGGTATCTTTGGATTACTGGGAATCGCCATTTTTTTTCAAGGGGTTGCGGTGCGGGGGGTGGGAGGAGGGGGAACGTACGGACGATATTGTGACACAGATAAACCTGGTCTATCTCATCAAAGAGTTTTCTGTATCTTTGAGGTAGAGCACTGCACCGCGAGGTTCGGCGTTCGATCAAGTGTGGAGGCGCAGTTGTTTGAATTGCTCCACGCTTGTGACAAACGAATGTTATCTACTACGATGTTCCATTTTAATGAATTGCATTTCGATTTCTGTTTCCTCTTTAGACCGGAGTCCATTTTATTCCCACATATCCACCAGTCTTCAAGGCCTGACCACCATCCGAGCTTACAGAGCAGAAAATCGATTCAAGAATCAATATGATGTGTACCAAGATAACCATACGGCTGCTTGGTTCCTGTTCATGACTGGATCGCGGTGGCTTGGAGCCAGGCTCGACTTCATATGCACAGTGTTTATTGCCTCAGCAGCATTTAGTCCACTTTTTCTGGCTGAAGGTGGAATTCGTAAGTGAATTTTCTGTTGGAGGTGGAGATTCTCTGGTTTTCCAGTCACTACATAGCTTCGCCGTTGGTCCTGTGAATATTGGAAATTTCCTTTTTTCCCTTGGCGAAACGTTTTGTTTGTTGTTTGGGGTTTTAGACAAACTCTTAATCTTCCTCAATTCAACATTTAAATAAGCTGGCGCCGTTACCTTTTAATGGCACGCGTGAAACAGGTTGAACGAACCCTTTATTAAATTTTTTTCACCAATCTGAAACACCGTCCAAGTCTGGCGAGCAGTTCTGAACCAAACCTTTTTTATACCTTGATACATTGTTACCCTTGTATTTCCCTGCAAACATCTTACGATGTTAAGTTATCCGAATCCTTTGAAGGCTTCTATAGGTCAACATAATTCACTAGTGTCTCGCTATTGGTTGACGCCTTTCTTGTTACTGTGATTTATTTGGAGTTTGATGGGAAAACAGGTAAAAAAATGGCTGGTACCTTTAAGTTTCTACTTTTCATTTCAAAAGTTACTTTTTTACGGTTTCACTTAGAGCTGCATTGATTCCCGTGTAAATCACAAAGTTTATGCTCATATATCTCTACATCTCTGGCGTGTTCTTGTGGAAATGTGTTCCTGAATTGCAGTTCCAGCATTTCAATATTCTTTCCTAGGTATGTCTGCAGGAATAGTCGGCTTAACCCTGACTTACGCCAAGATGTTAACAGGAGGGTTTCAATGGTGTGTGCGACAGAGTGCTGAAGTGGAAAATCTTGTATGTGGCACAATTTTATCATTTTTAACTAGTGTCTTTTTCAGGAGACGTATGCTCCAGAAATCCTATGTTGTTTTCTCTACCATACGAGGTACAGATGAGATTGGTTCCCCTAAGGGAAAAGTCACCGGTAGTTATTCATCGCCCGGGGGGGGTCGGAGAATTTTATTTGTGTCACAATAAAATTTACCTGATCCTCCCACAAGGATCTGTAAAATTATTATTTCCCCCCCTCTAAGGCAGTGAATCTGCAGTCAGTTTTCTAAATCCCCCCCCCCTTTATTCTCTTTTGGTGACGACTGATTCCCCCCTTCCCCTTACTCTCAATACTACCTGATGCCCCCCAAAATCTTCCACCGCCCCAGGTGATAGAGAGTGACTGGTCCTCTACTGGGTATTGAAATTTTAAACGAAAAGACATGTTACACATTTTGATAACAAATCGCAGTAGGTAGTTAGCTTCTAACTAGCTAGTCCTTTTGAATGGTGGAGATAAAAATGATGTGGTTTATGGAGCACCCTTCTCTTTTAATTACGTTATTTTGATAACGCATGAGTGTAAGAAATTGTACAGTTGTGAGTCCCCATTTTCAAAGTTTCCAACTTCATACAAGGATGCTCTGCCGCTGATCCGTAGAGAACTCGTTTTTATGTGACAAGTGTCATTCGTCCTGTGAGAAGGAGGGGGAAAAAAAAAAGGAATAATTTTGGTTCGCCTGTCGATAGCACAAAGAGGCTTGTCACGAATTCCAACTTTAGTACCCCGTATTGCCAAAGAAAGAGCCCCTCTACCGGTTGTAATTTATCCGGATACCTTGAAATGGAATTCATTTGTTGTCTTACAAGTCTGACGCTTTTTCCTATTGTCCTTCAGATGACTTCAGTGGAGCGTGTTATAGAGTACTCAAAGTTGGAACAGGAAACCCAATCCCACGACAAAACTGTTTCAGTACCAGGCAGTTGGCCTCAGTATGGGATAATTACATTTGAGAGCTTTTACTACAGACATCATCACACAATGCCTCAAGTCTTAAAGAAATTAAACTTGTGCGTACGGGCGCAAGAAAAGGTACGTTTGTTTCCAAATATTTTTTCAACTGCTTCGTGCCCAGAAGTCTCTTAGTGAGTGAGGGAAAAAAATTAGCGCTTCAAGGCGAAATGGAAATTCGTCTCTTTGTTTCCACTCGTGTTCATTCTCGTCGCCAGTCGTTTAGGAGAGTGTTCGCGCAACTCATCAGTACACTGTGGGAGGCAGGCGTTTCACATTTTTATATTTGTCTCATATCTATGGAAAACCCTGCCTGTTGTTTGAAATATGACGCTGATCATGTAGGTAAGAATACAGCAATCACCATGCACAAGACTAACACTTTAACTCACTTAAGTAAATGAAGTCTTACTTAGCGCGAGGTTATTAGGCAATCAGCGGATCTCAATATTTCTTTGAAATGTTTTGAGAAAACAAGTGATTTCCAGTGTTACCAAAAGGCTGCCTTGACCTTGCTCGTAAAAGTCAACGTGTAGAGAGATCGGAATGATTGTTTTTTTTTCGTCTGAGTTGAGTCGCCTTTTACGCCACAGTGTGACTGCTGTAAATCCTCATGGGTCGATTGTTTTCTAAGGTTTTGAGACAGAGGCTTTTAAGA